TCTTGGACTGGATACCCGATTCTGCGTAAACCATCCAACTCTCATAAACCCATCATAACTCATACCTTAACTGAGAAACCTTTCCAGGACTCTATGAATATCGATGGTTGTACGGATCCCCTTTTCGATCAGTGGCGCCCTTCGCGGGTTTTCACCAGCTGACCTCTCTCATTTTCTCTTCTCATTGTCGCCTTATAGTGCTCTTTGCGAGTTTTCACTAACAAGACTCTCTCATTTTCAATTTCTCTGCTTACCATCACCCTATGGTGCCCGTGTGGGTTTTCACCAATAAGACTCTCTCATTTTATTCTCTCATTTGATCGTATCAGATCCAAGTAACCATATCCTCCAATTTTGAACATCTTTACCGATTGATCGGAAGGACTTGAACAGGACTTGGGGTGAAAAGAATTTGGATTGAATTACAACTTTGGAACCTTTACCATTATAAATTCTTCCCTAGTTTAAACTTTTGGGGAAATGTGGATTTTTTTTGGTGTGACTGAACCCCAGAGAAAGGCTGCCTACGTATCCTTTCGGAATCAAGTCGAACGTAGTTCAAGGAAACTTTTGTTGATGATTTTTTTTAATCATTTTCGGGTTCCAAAGAGGGTAATCAAAGAAAGGTAACTGGATCAAAGGGTTTGCAAAGTGTTGATAGTGTTTGGGTAGCGAGAATGAAAGCTTTCGTCATCCAATCGGAGAATATTAGTACCGCAAAAGGGCTAAACATAATACCTTTTGACCGCGTCCGCATTGATTGCTGTTTCGGGGTCATTTCCTTCAATGTCTCCCAAGTGCAATGCCCTTTTTGGCTTTTTCTTATAATGTGCGGTCCCTTCCAATTTGGAGCGAACTTTCCTTTTGCTTCCTTATAATGCGGGAGAATACGTCTCAAGACGAGTTGCCCCACTTCAAAGTTTCTAGGACGCACTTTCTTGTTGTAGGCATGGGCCATTCTTTGTTGATACAACTGCCCGTGGCAGACTGTGGCCATCCGCTTTTCATCAATCATGGTTAACTGTTCTAGATGGGTCTTGACCCATTCATTGTCCTCAATCTCAGCCTCGACGATGATTCGAAGAGACGGAATTTCAACTTCTGCAGGTATTACGGCTTCGGTGCCATAAACCAATAGATAGGGTATTGCCCCAACTGATGTGCGCACGGTCGTGCGATATCCCAATAATGCAAAAGGCAGCTTTTCATGCCATTGTCTGGAACTTTGAATCATCTTTCTAAGGATCTTTTTGATGTTTTTGTTTACCGATAAGGGGTAGAATTCCGATGCGTAATCTTAAATTGTTCGCAGACCTCCCTCGTCAAATGGTTGTTCAAATTTGCAGCATTGTCTGTGATTATAGTCTTAGGAATACCAAAGCGACAGATAATGTTGGAATGCACAAAGTCCACCACCGCTTTCTTGGTGACGACTTTGAGAGTGACTGCTTCAACCCACTTCGTTAAATAATCAATGGCAACTAAGATGAATCTATGTCCATTTGAAGCTTTCGGCTCGATTGGCCCAATGACATCCATACCCCAAGCAACGAATGGCCAAGGTGCTGACATCGGATGCAGTTGTGAAGGCGGTGCATGAATCAGGTCACCGTATACCTGACACTGATGGCATTTACGGACAAAACTAAAGCAATCCTTTTCCATGGTCATCTAGTAATAACCTGCCCGAGGATTTTCTTTGCAAGGACGTATCTGTTCATATGGGGCCCACATACTCCCGCATGCACTTCATTCATGATTCTTCCAGCCTCTTGGGCATCCACGCATCTTAAAAGGTTCAGGTCTGGAGTTCTTTTGTATAAAACCTCTCCGCTTAAGAAGAAACTACTGGCGAGCCTTCTAATGGTTCTCTTTTGATCTCCACTGGCTTGTTCGGGATATTCCTTTGTTTTCAAGAATCTTTTGATATCATGATACCATGGCTGACTATCTGGTTCTATCTCAACTGTATTGCAATAACCATGCCTTTCTCGGATTTGGATTTCTAGTGGGTCAATGTGGACATTGCCTGGATACGGCAGCATCGAGGCCAAAGTAGCTAGTGCATCGACTAACTCATTGTGCAACCGAGGAATGTACTTGAACCCGACGGATTTGAACCGCTTGCTGAGATCTTCTACATGTTGCCTGTATGGGATAAGCTTGATATCTCGGGTTTCCCATTCACCTTGAGCTTGTTGAATGATCAAATCAAAATCCCCCATGATTAACGATTCTTCCACGTCCAGATCAACTGCCATGTTCATGCCCATAATGCACGCTTCATATTTAGTAGTGTTGTTCGTACAGAAGAAGCAAAGCCGGGTGATGGATATAAATTATTCATATATTTTAATATAAAAATATAATATTTTAGATATAAAATATGACCAATTTATATCCTATTTTCGCGCTTTTCTAACAATTCGTTCAGGAAAAAGAATACATGGAAAAAGAGAAAAAGAAAGAATCTACAGTTCAAGGAAGAAGGATGCATCCGTGACAATTTCATCTAAGACTAGACAAAGTCAAGAGATACAAAGTTATGGCAAATTCTCACCAAAATATCAAGACAAATTGCCATATCAATTTCTCATCAAGGCCATATGATATATTAATATTATATTGCAATTTCTCACCAAGGCCTTGTAGGAATTTTCCTATAAATAGTCATATGTTTGTAGATGAAAAAGCATCCCTCTTTGTATCCAATTTTCTATCTAGTTTTTTCTAAGTTTCTAAAGAGAAAGAGAAGAGTAATATTGATCTCTTCCTCTAATATTTCTCTTTGTAGTAAAAATATTCTTAGTCTTTTGAAAGTATTTTTTAGCTTTTCTTACTTCATAATGGAGTAATTTCTTTTTGTTGGGATAGTTGATGAAGCTTGATATAATTATAATACTATCTCAGTTTCAATACATTCTTGGCCTGAAACTCTATATACATTTCATATTGTGATGGAATGATGATTTTTTAATCATTATTATCACATCTACATATTTTATATCTAAGTTATTCTTACATTAATTTTGTAATTCTCACGGAGCAAAATTAATATATAATAACTGATGAATAGAATATTAGAGTGAAAGTAATTTTTAATAAGACTATTATTTCAAGTCTATAATCTTGCTTTCCTCAGTTTTAATTCTCACGGAGAAATTGTTGAAGGCAAGATTATTGTTTTTCTAGTAAAAATATTCTCACGAAGTTTTTACTACACTTGAGCACAAAATACTAGAGTTAAAATAATTTTTAGTAAGATTATTGTTTCAAGCCTGTAATCTTGCTTTCCTCAGTTTTAATTCTCACGGAGAAATGAAAGCAAGATTATTGATTTTCTAGTAAAAATATTCTCACGAAGTTTTTACTACGCTTGAGCACAATTCAGGCAATATATTTCAGTTTAACGTCACTAGTTTTAAATCAAATGATTGACATAACCTCGCGGAGTGTAAATTATTTATTTATTTCTTAGTGTAAAAATATAATTGTATTAGTAATAAGCAATTATTCTTTAGAGAAATACGTATGAACCTGAGATTTTATTGTAATGATATATCAAGTGAATTCAACGATTCCCAACTCTTTTTAAATATAAACTTTTCAGAAGAAATTTGTCTTAATTTATAATTTCAAACACACCTCTCATCAATTTGGTTCTCTCAAATAGTAGTCAAAATATTACAAGTCTGTAGCTTAGATTGTCCAATCTCTGTGGGACGATATCATAAACTATACTAGAGTTTGACAGAGTACGAGCAGAAAATCCTATACACATAAGCTTCGTCAAATTTTTGGCGCCTTTGCCGGGGATTGGCACACATCTACTTCAGATTAAATATTTTATTACTAATTTGAGAATTTATTATTGTTAATTTTCCGTTCAAAATGTTATCTCCTACATACTACTATCATAATTGTACTGTTATTAGGAGCAATTCTATATAATATTGTAAAAAAGCATATAAAAAAGGAAAAAAAAAAGAAATCCCTCATAGTTAGTACTTAAACCTACTCTATTTTATATTTTATTATTATATTATTATTGTTAGTACTAACATCTATATAATAGTATAATATATTAGTTTTGTGATTCACAATCTCATTTTTTTTAAGTATATTTCATTATTTTTATTATTATTATAATTGTAAGTACTTGTTATTACTATTCTAGTTCTAAAAGTATCCTTTGTACTATTCTATATTACTATTATAACTATTACTTTTACTATATCTTTATAAAATATTATTTTATTCAACTTTTTTTAATTGATAGTACTGTAATCTTTCAACATACTTGATTTATTATTGATTTTTTTTCTTCATATAATATAATTAGTATTATATTATTTCTTTTGATGGTTAGTTATAACTTACTCTTTTAGTTAACTATAATATTACCGTACTATTTTTTTTAATTCATTTTTAAAAATATCTATTACTATTTTAGGGACTGTCTTTACTTTACTTTAATTTCAGATAGTTTATGACCCGCTCTTCTACAAAAGAGTTGGCCAATTACGATCCTGAAATTGAAAAAACTTTGCGATTGTGCAGGAAAGGACAAATATCGTCTCAAAACATAACTTGTAACAGAATGGAGCACCAATTAGAAGATGATAACAATCCACTACAAATTCCACCACCAGCTCATGTAGAGGAGCAGTTTGATGAAGTGGCGCCAAGACCAGCAAACAGAATCCTAAGGGATTATGCTAGACCTGATCACTTTAACTGTGAATCTAGTGTCAGGAAACCTCCAGTAGCAGCCAATAACTTTGAAATCAGGACAGGCCTGATTCAAACAATTCAACAATCTTGCATTTTCATCGGTGATCTAAGTGAAGATCCATTTTAATTGACTTTTTAGAATTGGTTGAAACTGCAAAGTATAACGGAGTACCTCCTGAAGCAATTAAGTTAAGGCTATTTCCTTTTTCTTTAAAAGGAGAGGCCAAAACTTGGTTACGAAGTTTGCCGCAAGGGTTTATTACGACATGGGACAAAATGACTCAGAAATTTTAAATAAATATTTTTCCCCAGCTAAAACAACAAAGTTAAGACAGGATATATCTAACTTCTTGCAGACTGACACTGAGTCAGTTTATCAAGCTTGGGAAGGATTGAAAACAATGTTAAGGAAATGTCCACATCATGACATTCCTGAACATATGCAATTGTACATTTTTTATCATGGTTTGAAACCATCTTCTAGAAATGTAATAGATGCAGCTGCAGGAGGTTCCATAATGGGAAAAACCACAGAAGAAGCATTGCAATTACTTAATGAAATTTCTGAAAATGCCATACAGTGGCCATCTAAGCGTGTAATCATTAAGAAAGCTGCTACAGTAAATCAGGTGGATGCTTTAAATACACTAACACAACAGATTGTTTCTTTGGCACAAAAATTTGAATCTTTTCAGGTAAATACACAACAACCAAGCCAGTCTGAGGCTTGTGGCTTGTGTGGAGGAAACCATCTAAACCACGAATGTCAAGCAACCAAGCAAAATGATGAACAGGTCAATGTCATCGGATACAAGCGGTATCCTTTTGGAAGTCCATTAGCACAAAAACATCCAGGATTTCAATGGAGCAATGCAAATGGTGCTGAAAACTCTCAAAATTACCGAAAGCAATAGGTACAGAGTCCTCCCGGATATCAAAATCAAAATCGTGGACAACAAAATTTCAGGCCTTATCAGCATGCAACTCCATATCAGCAAAAGCCTCAACAAGGCCATCCAAGCCTTGATGACCTTTTGTACAAGTACATTAAGGTTACTGATGAAAAAATGGAAAGCCAAAATTCAGCTCTAAAAAATCTTGAAATTCAGTTAAGCCAATTGGCAACTCTTGTGTCTGAAATGATTCAAGTTCCTTTACCGAGCAACACAGAGAAAAATCCTAAAGAACACCTTAAGGCCATTGCCTTACGGTCAGGTATGACTCTTGATGAACCCTATGCAAACAGACAAGAAAAGAATCAATTAGAACAACAGGTAGACAAGGGAGAAAATGTTGAGCTACCCTCTCAACCATCAGAAGAGAAAGAAGCCAAGAAAAAAGAAGAAAAAAAATACTAAAAATTTGACTTCTTTCCCTGTTACAATTCCTTTCCCACAAAAGATGAAAAGAGAAAATCTTGATAATCAATTTGCAAAGTTTTTGGAGATTTAAAAATAAATTCACATTAACATTCCTTTTACTGATGCTTTATTGCAAATGCCTTCATATGCCAAATTTCTAAAAGAAATTTTATCAAGAAAAAGGAAATTGGAAGAAGTTTCTGTGGTAATGCTTACTGAAAAATGCAGTGTTATACTTCAAAATAGGCTACCACAAAAACTTGGTGCCCAGGTACTTTTACCATTCCATGTACTCTAGGAGGAGTATACATTGAAAAAGCACTTTGTGATTCTGGAGCTTCAATAAATTTGATGCCATTTTCTATTTTTTAAAAATTAGATCTTGATGAAATGAAAGACACAGGTGTTTCACCTCAATTTGCTGATCAAAGTACTAAAAGACCAAAAGGAATAATTGAAAATGTGTTTGTAAGAGTAGATAAATTTGTTTTTCCTGCAGATTTCATAGTACTTGAAATGAAGGAGTGTTCTGATGAACCAATTATTTTAGGTAGACCATTTCTTGCAACTGGCAGGGCAATCATAGATGTCAATCAAGGACAACTAATTTTAAGAGTTGATGAAGAAAGAGTTATTTTTGATATGCAAAAGATACTAAGATTCTCAGAAGATGATACATCATCTTCATGCTTTTCAATTGACATGATTAATAATCTTATAGATGAATTCAAAGATAATCAATTAATTTCTGACTCAATGGAGAGATTTTTGGCCAAATCTGGCACCACACAGGATGAAGATCCAACTATCAGAAGTGATGCAAAATTATTGGAAAAAGATTATGAGGAAGGGGACATGCAGTTAGAAAAAGTACAACCAAAAATTGAACTCAAAACTCTCCCTTCTCATTTGAAATATGTCTATCTTGAGCATGAGTTATTTCCAGTAATTATTTCATCTTCTCTAACTACAGAACAGGAAGAAAGATTCATTAAAGTATTAAAAGCACACAAAGGAGCCTTGGGATGGACTGTAGAAGATATTAAAGGGATTAATCCAACAATTTGTACGCACAGAATCCTCATGGAGGATAGCTACAAACCAATAGTCCAACCCCAAAGAAGATTAAACCCAGCAATGCAGGAAGTGGTAAAAAAGGAGATTGTAAAGCTTTTGGCGGCAGGTATTATTTACCCTATTTTAGACAGCCCTTGGGTAAGTCCTGTTCAGGTAGTACCAAAAAAAAAAGAGGTATGACAGTGATAAAAAATAAAAATAATGAACTAATACCTACCAGGACCGTCACAGGATGGAGAGTCTGTATAGATTATAGACGTCTTAATGATGCCAAGTCCTGTTCAGGTAGTACCAAAAAAAGGAGGTATGACAGTGATAAAAAATAAAAATAATGAACTAATACCTACCAGGACCGTCACAGGATGGAGAGTCTGTATAGATTATAGACGTCTTAATGATGCCACTAGAAAAGATCACTTTCCTTTGCCATTTATTGATCAAATGTTAGAAAGAATTGCAGGATATGGGTTTTATTGTTTTCTTGATGGCTATTTAGGGAATAACCAAATACCAATCGCACCAGAAGATCAAGATAAGACAACTTTCACATGTCCTCATGGAACATATGCATATAGGAGAATGCCATTTGGTTTGTGCAACGCCCCTGCTACATTTCAGCGTTGCATGTCAGCAATTTTTTCTGACATGACTGAAATTTTTTTTGAAATTTTCATGGATGATTTTACACTCTTCGACAAGGATTTTGAGGATTGTCTTCACCACTTAACCTTAGTTCTTAAGAGATGTGAAGAGACAAACTTAATTCTTAATTGGGAAAAATGTCATTTTATGGTTACTGAGGGAATTGTTTTAGGACATAAAATCATTGCTAAAGGGATAGAAGTTGATAAGGCTAAAATTAATCTTATAGCAGGATTACCCCCTCCCACAACTGTTAAAGGCATTAGAAGCTTTCTAGGTCATGCAGGTTTTTACAGACGGTTCATAAAAGATTTTTCAAAGATTTCAAAACCACTGACTAACCTTTTAATGAAAGATGTTAAGTTTGAATTTTCAGGTGATTGTATGAAAGCCTTTGGCACCCTTAAAGAAAAATTATCAACTGCCCCTATAATTGTGTCCCCTGATTGGAACCAACCTTTTGAGGTCATGTGTGATGCTAGTGATACAGCAGTTGGAGCTGTTTTAGGCCAAAGAAAAGATAAGATTTTTCGTCCAATTTACTATGCCAGCAGGACAATGAATGGGGCTCAACTAAATTATGCCACGACTGAGAAAGAACTACGAGCAGTGGTATTTGCATTTGATAAGTTTCGTTCCTATCTGATAGGAACCAAGGTCACTGTTTTTACTGATCATGCGGCTCTAAAATACCTCTTAGCAAAAAAAGATGCGCGACCTAGATTGTTAAGATGGATTTTACTTCTCCAAGAATTTGAGCTTGAAATAAAAGATAAAAAGGGAACAGAGAATCAGGTAGCTGACCATTTGTCTAGATTAGAGAACCCCCACTTGAGTTATGTGATATAAAAGAAGAGTTTCCTGATGAACATATTTTTTCTATCAACTCAGTTGTGACTCAACCACCCTGGTTTGCAGATATTGCAAATTACTTGGTTAGAAAATGGACACCCCAAAATCTCACTTACCAACAGAGGAAAAAGTTATATCTGATGCTAAATACTATTTGTGGGATGACCCTTATTTAAAATTTGTGCAGATAATATTATCAGAAGATGTGTACCAGAAGAAGAAATGACCAAAATTTTGTATCAGTGCCACGATGGAGCAGTTGGAGGACACTATGCAGCAAATCGAACTGCCTTTAAAGTTCTAGAGGTTGGATTTTTCTGGCCAACACTTTTTAAGGATGCTCGTGCCTACGTTGCACAGTGTGACAGGTGTCAAAGAACAGGCAATATCACTAAGAGAGATGAGATGCCATTGCAATCAATACAGGTATGTGAAATATTTAATGTTTGGGGGATAGATTTCATGGGTCCTTTTCCTTCATCTCATTCTTTTGAATATATCCTTGTGGCTGTGGATTATGTTTCAAGATGGGTTGAAGCCATCCCAACAAGGAAAAATGATACTCAAACTGTGTGCAATTTTCTTAAGAAAAATATTTTTACCAGGTTTGGTACACCACGAGTTATCATTAGCGACCAAGGGTCTCATTTCATGAATAGACAATTTTCAGCATTATTGTCAAAATATGGTGTGACTCACAAAACAGGAACACCATATCATGCTCAAACAAAGGGCAAGTTGAGGTTTCTAACCGCGAATTAAAACGAATACTTGAAAAAACGGTTGGAATCTCCAAAAAAGACTGGGCTTCAAAATTAGATGACACACTGTGGGCATATCGAACGACGTTTAAAACGCCAATTGGTACGTCTCCATATCGATTAGTCTTTGGAAAAGCTTGTCATCTTCCAGTTGAATTAGAACACAAAGCCTTTTGGGCATTGAAAGCATTGAACTTTGATTTAACCCCTGCTGGTAAAAATAGATATTCTCAGGTGAATGAATTGGAAGAACTCAGATTAGAAGCCTATGAAAATGCCAAAATTTTTAAAGAAAAAAAAAAACGGCACGACAATTTAATCCGACAGAAAACTTTTAAAATTGGAGATCATGTACTTCTATACAACAGTAGACTCATGTTATTTCCAGGAAAATTAAAATCAAGGTGGACGGATCCTTACAATGTTACAGATGTTACTCCATACGGAGCAATTGAAATTCAACAAACCAATGGAGGAGACAAATTTAAGGTAAATGGTCACAGGTTAAAATTATATTTTGGAGGGCATTTTGAGCAACAACCATCTGTCACTTTGATAGATTGATGAAGTCTGCAATTAATAAGTCGAGCTGGCGACGTTAAACTCAGAACTATGGTTCCTTACCCGTAGCCATTGAGGGTGAAGCAATGGAGCCTCATAAGTCCAACATAGATTTAAATAGTTAAATGCTTAATCAATTGATCTGGTTAATATCCAGGTTATTGTACAACCAGAACATCTCATGAAGGCCTCTACAAAAACAGAGTCACCTATACAGGAGTAACTCCATGGTGATCGGTATGCCTAAGTAACTGGTTGGTTAACCATTTAATAATGTAATTCATATGTTGGCACAGGTAATTTTCTAGTTTATATACAAACTAGACTTGTTATTTATACGCAAAAGGTGTGTGGCTGCAGTTTCTTTCAAGCTTTCTTCTGCAGTTGTATATTTGAAAGCCAAAAAAATTTTTATCTATCTATCTATCTATCGATATATATATATATATATTTAGATTTTTTTTTAATAATTATGCCTCTTGTAGAGTATTAATTTATCAAAATAAAACTCTTATCATTCTATATTAAATATATATTTTTTATATTTACCACATAACTTTCTTGTTTTTAAGTTTATTTTTATGAAGGCAAGAATAAATATCTTCAATACTTGGCAAGATATTCTGAGATTGAGAAGCATTATGATCAAAAAGCAAGTAAAACGTATAATCTATATGCTAGAACTTGCCCCAAATGTCTTTCGAGGCGAAATCCTAGACAACACTGATTTTTGAAATATGAATTTAGGCTTTCTTTGTTTACCTCAGTCTTTTCTAGATATTGCACAAAAATTTACTACAGAAAAAACAAAAAAATATCACTAGCACCTATTTTGAAGCTTGAAGACCTAATTTTTTCTTTTGATACCTAAGTATGACCAAATTTAAATATCACATTCATGCTTATGATTTGAAAAGTCCTTTTTCAGAAAATAAGTTTGGAGCTCATTTTGAAAAAGAATCAGAATTAAAGAAAAGAAAAAAAAAGGAGAGATTGATCTTATGTTCAAGCATTATAAGTACAAAAAAAAAATCAATACCAAATATTTGGAAAGTCTGATCTTAGAATATTCTGCTCCAAAACTGGAAAAAGGCAAGTCACTACAAATATAACCTTTAACCTACCAGCCTGAAGCCAACATTACAAGCCAGAAAAAGTCCTAAAAGATTTTAGAAATCAGTGTTTAGTCTACATTAGTGGAGATAGACATAAAGGGCAAGCCTATGGACAAAGATGAGGAATACTCAATGCAAATGATCATAAAGTTATCAATTTCAGAGAAGTCTCAAAAAGAAAGAAGGTACAATTTTTGTTGAATAAAAATAAAAGTAAAACAAGGTAAAGACTTGATGAATATAGAAAATTTATAAAGTTTGAAAGCATGATAGATTTTATTTGATTAAATTTTCATTTTACAAGATTCGCCATAATTTTAAAAAAAAAACAAATATAGCAACATATCTTTTTCAAAATTCTTTTCCTCAAGGACGAGCAAAATTCAAGTGTGGGGGTATTTGATGGATATAAATTATTCATATATTTTAATATAAAAATATAATATTTTAAATATAAAACATGACCAATTTATATCTTATTCTCGCGCCTTTCTAACAATTCGTGCAGGAAAAAGAATACATGGAAAAAGAGAAAAAGAAAGATCTACGGTTCAAGGAAGAAGGATGCATCCGTGACAACTTCATCTAAGACTTTATAAAATCAAGAGATACAAAAGTTATGGCAAATTCTCACCAAAATTTCATGACAAATTGCCATGTCAATTTCTCATCAAGGCCATATGATATATTAATATTATATTGCAATTTCTCACCAAGGCCTTGTAGGAATTTTCCTATAAATAGCCATATGTTTGTAGAAGAAAGGGCATCCCTCTTTGTATCCAATTTTCTATTTAGTTTTTTTCTAAGTTTCTAAAGAGAAAGAGAAGAGTAATCTTGGTCTCTTCCTCTAATATTTCTCTTTGTAGTAAAAATATTCTTAGTCTTTTGAAAGTATTTTTTAGCTTTTCTTACTTCATAATGGAGTAATTTCTTTTTGTTGGGATAGTTGATGAAGCTTGATATAATTATAATACTATCTCAGTTTCAATACATTCTTGGCCTGAAACTCTATATACATTTCATATTGTGATGGAATGATGATTTTTTAATCATTATTATTACATCTACATATTTTATATCTAAGTTATTCTTATATTAATTTTGTAATTCTCACGGAGCAAAATTAATATATAATAACTGATGAATAGAATATTAGAGTGAAAGTAATTTTTAATAAGATTATTATTTCAAGTTTATAATCTTGTTTTCCTCAGTTTTTTCTCACGGAGGAATTGTTTAAGGCAAGATTATTGATTTTCTAGTAGAAATATTCTCACGAAGTTTTTACTACACTTAAGCACAAAATATTAGAGTTAAAATAATTTTTAGTAAGATTATTGTTTCAAGCCTGTAATCTTGCTTTCTTCAGTTTTAATTCTCACGGAGAAATTGTTGAAGGCAAGATTATTGATTTTCTAGTAAAAATATTCTCACGAAGTTTTTACTATGCTTGAGCACAATTCAAGCAAGATTTTTCAGTTTAATCGTCACTAGTTTTAAATCAAATGATTGACATAACCTCACGGAGTGTTAATTATTCATTTATTTCTTAGTGTAAAAATATAATTGTATTAGCAATAAGCAATTATTCTTTAGAGAAATACGTATGAACCTGAGATTTTATTGTAATGATATATCAAGTGAATTCAATGATTCCCAACTCTTTTTAAATATAAACTTTTCAGAAGAAATTTGTCTTAATTTATAATTTCAAACACACCTCTCATCAATTTGGTTCTCTCAAATAGTAGTCAAAATATTACAAGTCTGTAGCTTAGATTGTCCAATCTCTGTGGGACGATATCATAAACTATACTAGAATTTGACAGAGTGCGAGCAAAAAATCCTATACACATAAGCTTCGTCAACATGCTTATTGATCGATTTACTGGAAAATCAAAAATATTTATTGGCATCGATGAAGATATTGAATTTAATAATCAAACACAATTTGAAGACCTACTACACACTTTAAATCCTCCTGGTTTGCCCCCTTACAAATTATGTTTGAAAGAGAATTGTCCAATTATATTATTGCGAAATTTAAATCCATGTGAAGGTTTATGTAATGGCACGCGATTGACCTGCTGTGATTTTAAAAGCCATGTTATCAGCGCTAAGATTACAACAGGTGATTTCAAAAATATGCACGTGTTTATCCCAAGAATTCCATTATTATCATCACAGGATGGAAAAATGCCTGTTCAATTTAAAAGAACGCAATTTCCCGTTAGACTATGCTTTGCTATGACAATAAATAAAGTACAAGGCCAGACTTTAGATTTCGTTGGAATTTATTTGCGGGAACCTGTAATTTCACATGGTCAACTTTATGTTGCCTTATCGAGAGCAAAGAGTTCAAATTGTGTGAAATTGTTGATCCGACCGTCTAGCCAAGTAGCCATGACGATCATTCTACCTCTAATATAGTATACGGCAAAATTATTCAGAAGGCAATCCTTTGAGTTACAGGTTGTGATGTTTTTTCTTTGTATTCTCCTATATCCTCTTTCTCATTGTTGCTTTGTATAGATAAAGTATCAGACATGCTAATGCAATTATTTTCTTCGTGAATTGTGATTTTCTATTCACTGGTAATGAGCATGGTATAGCCAAACCTTTTATTATGTATCTGCTTTTTTACGTTTAGTTTGATGATATTCCCCCTCCAGTGGATTAATGTAAAAAATATGCTAATGTATTCCTCCTCATAGAATAGTCCAATCTCTCATTAAGTAGTTTCGATGTGTTAGATCTTTTTAGACTTAGTTATATTTCAAATTGGATCCCTTCTTGGTGCTTTTACTTTGTCTTCCACATTTTCTCCGAGCAAGTAAATAATATTTTCATAACCTTTGGTGGCTCAAATTGGCTTCGGAACCTTATAATTTATATTTGCAGGTTAACGCTGTCCTGGTAGGAAATTGCAACTATTTTCATGATCAAAAAGTTTTCACCACAACTATTTAGCTCATAGAAGTGCGTTTATTTTTACAGGCAAAATGTTCCATGGATCACAAGTCATGGAGGTTTCATGGCATATTGACGATGCATTGTTACGAGAACGGTCAAGTTGTAGATTGTGTTTGGATTGACAAATTAAGGGAAATTTTGCTACATCCATATCAAATATCACCTAGGTGGCCTTGAAGGTAACATAATTTTCTTTTGTAACTTTCTAGAAACAGACTCAAAACATGAGTAATACATAGTATTTCACTGTTGAGCTTTATTTAAATGGTCTTTTCCTTTTTGTACATATATCGACGACGTCTATATTGGTGGAGTTATTTAGTTTCAACAGTTGATTTCTTGGAAATCATTTAACATACTTTAGCTAATAATCAGTCCTTCCTACCAAGTATGCAGATTTTGTTGCGGAAGAAGAGAAGCCAAAGGTACATCATATAGATTCAGGGGAGACTTTTTTAGAGAAAATAGCATAGACAATAAAGTCCGCTCACCAAGATTATACTTACTATCAAGGAGGAAGTAAAGAAAATCTCGAGTGTAAAGGTTGGAAATCCAGAGATGATAAGAGTAAAAGTAGCAGGCTAGGTGGCCTCTTTCAGAAAGTAGACTCCACTCTTCACATGGTCAACAGGCAAGTGCCTCCACTAAGAGAAAAAATGACATTTCTCTTCTTTGTCATGTTGATATAAGTTTTGCAATAGCTGTAGGTGCATCTTTACATTTTAAATCAAACTCTTAATATATTACATATAGCTACTTGTATCAGTGTACACATATAGTCCTTTCTCTCTCTATAGTTTTTCTTTCCCTGTTGTTTTGAGATCTAAATAAGTATGAATAGAAATTTTATGAGAAGTGATAAAGTATTTCACTTTTTCCCTTTGTGTAGAGTATATTTTTTCTTTCTTCTTTTTGAATGTTTTGGAGTGTAGGACTTTCTGCTGATGGGTGCTCTTAGATTTGCGAGAGAAAACCATGAAAAGAACATAAATTTCTGTATCTATACTGTGACTTCATACCTGCTCTAACTGCTATAAAGTTTTATTTTCCTATTTAAAGGAAAAATAACGATAGATGGACAGATTGCAGGTACTGCACAAACTGGTATCTCCACCAGCTTTGTCTGCTAAGATCTTTAAAGCTGTATCTGATTTACCAGCTGCCAGTTTTAAACATCTAAAGGTAAAGGTTGCTTTGCTCGGAAGAAATTTGAGGTCTTGGAGAAGAAACTTCTTATTTTGAGGAGTTTGATACTGAAGATGGTGTTTGTGAATTGCGTTGAATACCGAGAAGATGCTAGCTGCGTTGCTATTCAATCTTATTTCATTCCTTGCTCTGGTTCCTACTGCTCTCGGTAAGTTCATATCCTTACCTCTTGTTTTATTTTGTATTTTTGGATTATCTATTTATTTTTATAGGGACCTGTGATGTTACATAGGTGTTTAGGGAATATAATTATCAGTTTAATCCTGATTGGACCTCAGATTATAGAAATGAAACAATATGGAGAGCATTAATATAATGAGAAAATATATTTTATTTGATTGTGCACATATTCTTAATTCTCAGTTTGCTCTTACCATTGCTATATTGTGTCCTTGAGATAGCTTCCTTTGTCTCATTCAATCTTCTCTTTTCCTATACAGTTAATTCGTTGGTTTTACAGTTATAACGTGAATTTGGCTTTCTTATTTTCCTGATTTTCAGAATAGTTGCTGCATAAATTGTTGAAATTGGCAAAGCTGCGAAAGCTCTTATACTCGGTTAACTTGGTATGATATTTGTTGCTACAGCAGCAAGAACCTCTTGGCCAACTAATAAAGTTAAAAATTTAATTAGAAACCAATGAAGGATCATATGAATATATTGATCTAAAATCTAACCTGAAATACATTGATCAAGGCTCATATGTTCCCTCTTCAATATAAGGCCTATTTCCCTTGTGATGGACACGATGCACACGATGCAGAGCCGTCGGCCGTCAAAAATAAAAGTTTTCTTCAATTTTAATCTTATAAAAACATTCATTCCCAATCTCTTCGCAGCAATGATGCTATATGTTATTTATCTTAAATGTGTCTATTAGCTGAAATACATGAATAGTTTGTGCTCTTCCGTGATTTGCGTTGTACCTACTCAACCTTCACTGTACGCTTTTAAACATGTTGACAATTTTGTTTATCAGCTCCCAGACTTGAAGCTCATGGGACTGAATCGCGAGGTAATTTAGAAAAAGGGAAGAGTATATGTGATGTCCCTACCATTCGTGAAACAGGTAAACTTACTCTTTATATTATACTTTGTTGACAATGACATATATTGTTATATACAAATAGAAAACCACATAATCTGGTCTTAAATATTATATGCTAGCCTCAAGAAAAACATCTCAAGTGGTATGGGTCTTGCCAAACATCTGGATAGACTTCTTTTAGTTTCAAAAAATCAAAGTAATTACAGATACACCTTAAAATTGAAGCTAATTAGTTCCAATCCATGCCTAATATTTAAGGGGGATATCCTTTTGGTTGACAAAATTGACTCAATGTTATAACTTCTTCTTCAGTATGTCCCCCTGACCGATTACATTAGTGATGTACAATTATAATTTTTTGTTTTGATACAGACTTCTGATGAGGTAATGTAATGAGTTTCAAGAACTGGAATTGCAGCTATTCCAAAAATGACTATAGAGAAACTCCCTGAGTATGGTAACGTGCTTGTTCAAGAGGAATAGAATGTAAAGAGAATTCAGTTGGCTAACACGCATCTTAAAGATTCAACACTTGGAGATGCAAATGCTGATGCCATTAACCACTGGAAACTTATAGTGCCATCAAACTAAAGTTTAAACAAGAGGTTTGGATTTTCTATTTCAAAACCTTTGATTCATAATAAGTTCAAAGATTGGAATAGAATTTTGAAAATGTTGCATTACTGTAGGGATGCAGGGCAGAAATGACAACAATCTAATTGCCCTATTGCTGAAGTTTCTATTGATTCAAGTACCAAAAATCTTGATTCAACTTCCAAGAGTGATGATAAAACTTGTATCTTCAGTTTTTTGAGATATTTTGTGAGAGTAGCTATAGAATGTGACTAGAACTTTGTAATATATGAAATTAATCGCATTCCATTCAAGGGAGTACAAACTCCAAATAATCTTTTGTTTCAATTAGAACCTTTATTCCCGTTGGGCCCGGGCAAAGCCCGGGCTACCCCCACTAGTTTTTTGTATATGCGGCAATTATTAAAAAAAATAAATTAAAATTCGTAATGATTGGTTGGTTAAGAGAAAAAGTATAAAAGATATATAGTTTAATTGAAAATTAAATTCGAATGCAATTAATATATGAATTGAGTACTAATTTTCAAGCCAATGTTTTAATGATGTTGATTTTGGAATTCAAATTATTAAGTTCAATATTTTGCAAATACTCATAGCTTAAATAGTGGAGTACTTATTTGTACCAAAATGATAGGAGCAATATTTATGTTAAAATATTACCAAAAAGAAAATATTTATGTCAAAATAGGTCGAGTCTTTATTCGTTTTACCAAAATTTCAGCGAATAGACTTAGGAAAGCGAATAAATTGCTGGGGCCTCCTTATTTCAGCTCTTCTTCTTCGTCTCTCACCTACCACACAACTCGAATTTAGGGTTTTTATTAAAGGCGCTATTTCACAGATTCTCTTTGTTATTTCCTGTTATTCTATTTGATATAATCCACTCTGGTTGAATTTGAAGATAGCTATGGCTAATGGAAATGAAGGAGACAAGACTCTGCTCTCCATTTGTTATAAGCGTGGCTCACTTCAGCTACTCGATCAAGTATTCTACTCTATTTTCTCTTGTTATTTAAGCAACTTCTACTGCGGCTTGTCATTTTACAGAAGTGCTTTTTGTAAATAGATTTCCTTGATTTTTTTCTGGTCTAATTAAAAAGGCCAAAAAAAAAAAAAAACTTTCTAATTTTTCGTGAAAAGGATTGTCACTTTTTTTTTTTACAAACTGAAGTTGATGGTTCCTAAGTTGTTTGTTTTTCAAGTTCTGTGAGCAGCTTGTTGTTCCCTTTGACTTAACATTTGAGTATATCTTCAACAGAGAAAACTCCCCCTAGAGACCATTTATTTGGATATCCAGGATACAAAAGATGGCTGGTAATCTTTCTCTCTCTTTTATATTCTTGATTGGCTGTTTTTTTAACCTTGGGCAGTTATGTATATTATTTTTATGAGCTCTTGTGGTGGTTCTGTGTGACTTATGATTCCCTCTTTTTTCTTTTTGTTATTGTTGCTGTTATTGTTTGAAATGAAGTAATGTGGTCACTGAGGATTCATATAGTTGAACCCAACTTGTTTGTGATTGAGGCATAGTAGTAGTAGTTGTTGTTGTTGTTGTTTGATAGCTATGCCTCCATTTTTCATGTATATAAAAAGTTCCTGCTTAGTAGTACTGGAATTGTTTATAAGCAAAGTAGTACTGGAATGGCGAGCAAAGTGGAAAGATTGTCTCTCTATCCTTTTATGTGGTTCACTGACTGGTTATCATGCCTAAAAAGTTTCTTCAGTATTGAGTGGTTTTATTGACTTGATTCTGCATATGCACCAGGGATGCAATTAAAGAAATGGTTGTCCGTGGAGCACCTGCAATTGCTATAGCTGCCGCACTGTCTTTGGCAGTAGAAGTTTCAAACCTGTCTTCGTTTGATGGGACTTCTGATGATGCATCAGATTTCCTTAGTAAGAAATTGGATTATCTTGTTTCAAGGTATAGTATTGCAGAAATATTTGTCTTCTTACCTCTCGTAATTGTGAGATTCCACGTTGTTTGATTGTGTGACGGGTATTGATGAAATTTTGTTCCCTTCGTGCAGTAGGCCAACAGCTGTTAATCTTTCAGATGCTGCAGTTAAGCTTAAAGAAGTTATAAAGAAGGCTGCTACCACAGCCAAAGATGCAAATTCAGTTTTTCAGGTGGTAACATTGTCTTGTTTGGCTAACACTCACCTATGCTGCTTAAATAATATAAAAACTACAGTAGTAAGGGAGTGAGAAGCCTGAAAGAAGGATGCAACTTAATTGGGAATATTACACCATAGAAATGTAGTAAATTGACTTGTACTTTTAGTCTGTTGCACAACACTTAACTCTCATATGTTCCGTCAGGCTTACATTGAAGCTGCTGAAGTTATGCTGGAGGATGATGTTACTTCCAATAAGGCAATTGGATCATATGGAGCTAGTTTTCTGAAGGAACACCTGACTGACTCCCAGAAGATAACAATTTTGACCCACTGCAACACCGGAAGGTTCATTCCAATACTAATTTTTCTTTTTTATTTACGTTGTTGTGATCGGTCCATTACCCTACTTGACTTGATAAGGTCTTCTCCAGTAAGCTATCGCTTCCATGCAATTGCAATTGATCATTCTGTAACAGGACCAATCGAAAGCAACTATGATTATGATTAGTTACCCATATGGGGTAACTCTTTAACTTTTGTTCGTACTTTCAACAGTCTGGCTACAGCTGGATATGGAACTGCTCTTGGTGTAATCCGAGCACTTTATACCGATGGAGTTCTAGAAAGGGCATACTGCACAGAAACACGACCCTTCAATCAGGTATTGCATGAGCTATAGTTGTTTCTAGCTTTAATTACCCTAGTAGATCCTGCCACTGAACATTACAGCCATATACCAAATCAAGGTTATGTATGTTATCTCCATTGAACTGCAGAAATTAAAGTTATTGCAATTTTTCTTCACTGTTGCAGAGTAAATTCTAACTTATAGACATGCCATAATAAATGTTTATGGTAATTAAGAGTGAAAAGTGTTTCTTTTTCTTATTAGTGGACTCATCCTCTTGGTGATTCTAGCATAATCTTGTGATGCTGGTAATTTACGGTTGGGCAAGTTAGGGTTCAATAATAGTCTGTTATAATATGCGATACTTTGATTGTTAACTCCGTGTTGCCTACTCTGATTAAATGAAAATGGGTTAGACTACATTAAGAAAAGATATTGTCATATTGGAGATATATGGTATGCAAATGAAAAAAAATTTAAACAAGGACTTGAAAAGCAGGTGTATCTAGTCTATTGTTGCTGCAAACTCAGTAGTCACCTTCTCCAATCAGTCATAATACTTGCAACCCGGCACTTTATTAGAAATTTAGAATAAATATCGAACAGTTCCTTTTGGGCCTTGTAATTCACCTATCTGTCCCCCCTTCCCCCCAAACATCCTCCTAACACACACAGAAGAGAGTAAGGAAAAAAGCTTTCCGGCCATTCTTTGTTTCCCTGTCGCTGGTTCTTTGCATATCAGCTGACATCATTTTCCTTAAGCCAAGTTACGCTGGAACAATAGGTGCAAATATATGCATCAGCAGCTAGGCAGAGGAATTCCAGTGTAAAATACTTTGAGGTCTAAGCTGAAATAAGGCCAGAAATGACTAAATGAGCAGTGTTGAAATCCATTTCTAGTAAAAACTAATAGCAGTGAGGCTAACATTTCAGAAATTGTACGGGAAAAAGATGCTGCATGAACTTATGTTTGGCAGTAACATGTCAAAGACCAGTAAATTATTACCTAGCAAAGATAGGCTTTAATCTGCAGATGAAATAGGATAAGGTATAGGGCAAATTGTCACAGAGACATCATTTAATACCTTTATGGAATATAACTGCATTATGTAACTATTGGATTTTTACGTTCTAAGTAACCATGTTGTCCACTTACTTATACAGTTCCAGACTTTATAGACCTTGGGACATGTCAGTTCAAATTTCTTATTCTACAAGAGTATTTCACTTCAAATTTTCTCTAGACTGACCTAAAAAATTCCCCATCAAGTACCTATTTATATAGTACTAAAATATGCTTTGAGTGAAATGTTAGAGCACACTACATACTCCACCTTAACCTCCACGTAGGCTTGTAGCAGCTAAAACTTTTAGTGCTCACCTAAGTTAATGCCTTTTAACCCGATTCTTCATTTCATCAAAATTGGAGCTAGCTGAAAAAACCAGTCGGCATCTAAAGACGAGGGACTACATAAGTGCATCTTTGTGTGGACTTTAGTAGCTTAGTACATGATACTTGCTCGACATATTCATATTCTTGTTGACTACAAATTCAAGAATCATGTACTGAAGAAGCAGATGCTTAATAGTAAATTTAAACTGAAATATATGGTGGACAGTAGTTCTGATTTGTCTTGTTGAAAGACTTCTTTTCTAGTTTGACTTGTACTACAATTTGAGTCCTCCTGCACCTGGCCCCCAAACAGAGAACAGTCGGGGTAAGATACGTCCTCACTTTTCCATTTAATATCAGGGATCCAGATTGACTGCATTCGAGTTGGTTCATGAGAACATACCAGCCACCCTTATAGCAGATTCAGCTGCAGCTGCATTGATGAATGCTGGTCGGGTGAAAGCTGTCATTGTTGGAGCTGATCGTGTAGCGGCCAATGGTACATATGACTTATGATTCGCGGGCCTTTTCCTTTTAGAACCACTGTTTTACAGGAGCTTTAAATCTCATTGCAGGTGATACTGCCAATAAGATCGGAACTTACAACCTTGCTGTTTCTGCTATGCATCATGGTATACCATTTTACGTTGCTGCTCCTTTGACTTCTATTGATCTATCTCTTTCTTCGGGACAAGAAATTGTGATAGAAGAAAGATCTCCAAAGGAGCTGTTACATACACGGGGAGGACTAGGTGAACAAGTTGCTGCCTCTGGTATTTCGGTTTGGAACCCTGCATTTGATGTCACTCCAGCAAATTTGATTAGTGGAATTATCACCGAAAAGGTCAGCAATTGTTAAATCTTGCACTGTCTATATTTGTGTGCTTACAACCCCACGCTTTTTATGTTCTGGCAAATATCAAATTACTACCCCAAATGATAAAATTGACAAGTGACAACTATTTGAATAGGGTGTCATCACGAAGAAAGGGACGGACACATTTGATATTGCTGAGTTTGTGCGCAAGACATCTGGAAATTTGTGATGCTGGTTTTATTAAAAAAATTCAAATGGTACTTCTTGACTTTGCTAAATTCCTCGCATCATACAGTGAGCTATCAGTAGTCCAGTACTCAGCAGGCAACATCTATTGCACTTCAATAATTGTTATGCATTGTGGTCCTATTAGAGCATGGGAGAAATGTATAACTATGGAGCTTTTTAATGAAATAAACCCATCTCCCCTTTGGCGTCAGCATTGATCCATGAAAATATTTGGCAATTTCAATATTGGGTATTTTCTCCATTTTCCTTTCCTTTTCTTATTCGGGAATTTGAATTTGACAAAATCATCCTCAAGATGGGCCAAATGCTACATTCAAATATCATGGTATAGCCAGTTTTCACACTGGTCAATAAAAAATAGCCAGCGTTTATCAAGTCAATGAAAAATAGCTACTATTTTGCTGCAACAGGGACCGGTCCAGTATAATATACGGGAGTTCTGGTGCATTTGTGTACGAACTCCAGCATATTATGCTGGACCGGTATACTTTGCTAACTCCTGTAAAATTTGCGGGAGACTGGAGCACCAGTGTTCCAAACTCCAGTATATTATACTGGACAATTATACTTGCTGGAATTCCCGTAAAATTTGCGGGAGTTCCAGCATAATTATGCTTGAACTCCCGTAAAATATGCGGACGTATTTTTCCGGATTTTGAACAGTGTTTTTGCTCAGATTTAAAGTGGCTAAATTTCGATGACTTTTGAAACTTGACTATTTTTCAACGACCAGTGGTAAATTTGGCTATATTTGAATTTCCTCCTCACCAATTTGAAGTTCTGGACCACCATTCGCATGAAATAAACAAGGATTTGTTGGCCCTGAATTACAGTTTAGGATGGCGCCATTTTCTAGTGAAGATTTTTATTTAACTTGTGGTGCGGGAATGGGCAAGGTAGGTGGCAGGCAGAGGAGTGGTGGGGGAGATAGCAGAGTTGGAGGTACGAAGGCTTGATAGCAAACTAGTCCAGACACCACGGTCATTAAAAAACGGCTTAAATGATTTCCCTTATTCTAATGTTGTTCTATATATGCTTATATTAGAATTGCTGTCACTGTTGTGACTTCATTGTCAATGTTACTCCTATTCTAATTATTTAAATTCGCCAATGAGCATTCGTACAGAAGGGTTGGGAAAAAAGGTTTTACCTCATTTGAATTGAAATGCCTTTGCAGTCATAGAAAGCTCATGACGTGTTTAAGATAACAAGTTAGTAGTCAAACTCTAGGCGAAAACTTTTGCATCAATGGGGACAAGAAAGAAAATTTGTCTGCTTCTAGTATCTTGAATTCGCCTCTGGCAAACACCCCTTTATTTGTTGAGGATAATATACATATGACTAGTGACTCAAATGTTTTTTTTTTCAACTCATACATTTTATAAAGCATAACACTTTTCCGAGCTTAGAAAATCGAGTTTAACTATTATGCTTAGCTTAAAATCTTGGGAAAGGCGGTGCTGGTCTTCCATGTCAGAGCATCTACTTCCGGCGTTTCCTTTTACCGACTCTTGTAGAATTGCCACTGAAGGTTGACTTGTATCATACATTATGTACTAGATATGCACAAATTATAATGTAAGAACTGTTATACAGTTAATAATAATGTATAAATTATTATGGGGGGTATTGCTTATCTTAGGGATATATGTTGTCTTTAGTTCTTCTTAATTATGTATTGCTAATACATATATTCTTATTCCATATTCTATCCCATATAAAATACTAGTTCACAACTCTCCCATATAACTCATTCTGCGTATTAGCAATGAGCCCAACCAAACGTTGTTTTAAGCTATGTGCTACTACAACTTATGCAAAATATTACGGTCCGATTATTATTGTTAATACGATGAACCAAATGATCTTTTAAGTACATAACTTTCACATGTGGTGACAATAGCAATCTTTCATTTTGTTTTCCAACATTTCATTTATTCCTCAAGCTTCAACATCAAATAATAAGGGTTCTAAAATACATTGATGAGATGACGCTCGATTAACAAATTCAAGAACATCGTGTATGCGAAGAACAACAATAAAGTTTACCATGGTATTTACTAGTGAACCGCAATTCATAAAGCAAATCCTAATTTCATCTCCACATCAAACTAAATACCAAATCTGTAAAAGAGCAAGATGGTTCTCCATAAAATACGTGCAAACGCTTGAAGTTTCATCATACTTCAACATGAAGCATAAATATGCATATGAAAAATTGCTAAATTGTCAACAATATCATACACAGAACCCGTAATTTTAAAAGCAAATGCGTGATAAAAACCTTCAGATCCATCAAGTTTAAATCTTTCTCTGCCTGATTCCACAGTCGCAATGTCTTTCGAGACTCAACTCATGCATACAGCCATGAGCCCATCTATTAGAATCACTATATGTATCTTGATTAGTTCAAGGGCACCTCAATTTACTCCGAGGATTTGATGGATGTATCTCTCATTCATCTTGATTGCTACGACGGCTATGCCCACTTTCCCCAACTTCCACAACACCAGCAAATTTGACATGCTTTTCATCATAATTATTGTTCTGTGAATTAGTCGAATTTCGCGTGGAAACATTCCTGGCGCTCGTCATGTTGGCCGCCTTGGAGCTGCGCTGTGAAATCTGGCGATTATCAAGTTTGCTACTGCAACAACATCGTTTGATGCAAGTGTACATGTAAGTGAGGAACCAAAATAGCCATGGAGAACCAACTAAGATCAATGCTGCTGGAAGAAACCAAGGCTGAGAATGATTCGGCACGAAAAGGTAGATGACAAGGAGGATTCCTCCGCCAGTTACACAAATACAAAAAATGCAAGAGATTAGAGGAACTCTCATATCCCCGTACCTATCCTCCATTCTTCTATAATATTGATTCAGAATCAATCAAATCTCCCCGAATATAACTTAAAATAGCCGACGACAATAAATTAGTCAAAAGCTTGAATTTGCTTCAGTAACATTCTAGGGCCGCACTTTCAATTGGTAGAAAAAGGTACACAAGTAAAAGGAATAAATATAGTGATAATTTTGATTCTTCGTCCTTTTACCCCTTCGTTTCTCCTTCCTTTACTTTATATGTTGTTTAGTTATTCTCTTTCTATTGTCATCTTTAGATACCTCCTCCTCCTTCTGGTCTTTCTTCCAATTTAGGGTTGAGATGCAAGAAAGAAGCAACAGGATGGGCCAAAACAAATAAGAAATCAAGAAGAGCGTTTAAAACGGAAGTTAGTTTATGAGATTGAAATGGCAATGACATTTTTTTTATTGGTACTCAACTCACGTTACATGCAAGGCAAACAAGAATTACAAGTATATGCTGTCAAAATAGCACGGTATAGTCAGTTTTCGCACTGGTCAATCAAAAATAGCCAGCGTTTACCAAGTCAATGAAAAATAGCCACTATTTTGCTGCAACAGAGACCGGTCCCGTATACTATACGGGAGTTCGGTGCATTTGTGTACGAACTCCAGCATATTATGCTGGACCGGTATACTTTGCTGACTCCTGTATAATATACGGGAGACTGGAGCACCGGTGCTCCAAACTCCAGTATATTATACTGGACATTTATACTTGCTGGAACTCTAGAATATTATGCGGGCGAATTTTCCGGATTTTGAACAGTGTTTTCGCTCAGATTTATCTTTACATGAAAAGTGGCTAAATTTCGATTACTTTTGAAACTGGGCTATTTTTGAATGACCAGTTGTAAATCTGGCTATTTTTAAATTTTTTCCGTATATGCTATAACTTAATGTGCTATTTGTGACCCTTTACAATTTTGAATTTAAGAAAATAATCCTTTTAGATTTCTTATGTGTAAAAGTATTATCCAATTTTGTCCTCTCCACAATTAATATACACCATACAATATATATATATATATATATATATATATATATATATATATATATATATTAGCCTTGTAATCCTATTACTTTTAGGATATACTTCTTAAAAATTCCTATTACTATTTAATTTTTTTAAAAAAACGTATTATATTGTCCAAATCTATTTAAAAACAGGAGAGCTCATATATGATTATAAAGAACGAATATAATATTGATAAATCAAAATAGCTCTAAAATATTAAACAGAAGAACTCATAAGGAAATGGCATAGCTGTAATAACTTATTTTTTGGACTACATAACTTCTCTGTTAATTTTTTTAATATATAAGATTTTAAAATTAATACAATCTTGTCTATTGAACTCTTATTAAAAATATGTAGGAAGGTTTAATAAAATCAATTTCATAAGAATCCTCCATATTGGTAATACATAACCACTCTATAATATTCAATACCCAAAAAATTAATGTTAAACGGACTGCATAAAGTGTTGAAATTGAGAAAACATTTCCAGGATAATATATTATTATATTATATTTGAACTGCTTTCCTACTCAAATAATATTTATTTTATTATTAATTTTTCGTGTAATATAGAAAAATATACCCAATTATTATAGAACAACTAAGAAATTTTTTAAGAATATAAATGTGTGAGAAAAGAAAGACAAAGGTTGGTAAAAGCCAATACCATTAATAATTTTGCAAACATAAATATCTAAAAGCGGAATGTTATCGATCTTTTTACTCTTTAAAAATAAAATTTATGGTGGATAAAATTATAATCACGGTTAAATATTTAAAAAATGAGATGAACTAATAGTAAGAATCTAAATCAATTAAAAATAAATTATATTTTATGTTAAAACCAAATAATCAAATCTTTCCATTAATTATTCAGCAAGAGAATCCAATTAAATTATTTTTTAAATTCATCATATGAGTAAAATTATTTTTCAATTAAAAAAAATTCTTAAGATACATAAATTTATTCCATAAAAAGAGTGTTACAGATTTTAAAAAATAGATCACAAAGTAAAAAAGATTAGTAATGTTAAGAATGCCATACAAGTGTTTGAGAAAGCACAATCAAAGCTAAATCCTGATCAAGAATAAGCTTTCAAGACTATATTATAAAAAATCGACTTTGGTATAGCGGGATTATCCTTTGTATATGCCTCCGGCAGAGTTAAAAAAATATTTTTATGTCATGCATTACTTGCAAATATCCAATCAAGGGCATGATATTTGTTAGCAATAAGAACAAGTGGTGTACCAATAACGATTTTATTATGAGGTCGTACAACCCACTTTAGATTTGATTTACTTCTTCAAATAACTGAAATAACCTATCATAAATATATCAAATCAGAGCAATAGTGCTAAATTTATAAGGAAAGCAAAAGTGATAATATGGCATGAATCGCTTTTGGCTAAGCGTCAAACGATCGAAACAATCGCCTAGAGTTTTAGAGATATGTTGGATATCGATGAACCGTTTGCTGGAAAAGTAATAGTTTGGGAAGTGATTTCTGTCAAGTACGATTAGTAGTTCCAAAATTGACCAAAGCAGAAACTATAAAAGCTAGCTTGCCAAAATTATACTTATGACCTCAAATGAAAAATATTCAAATACAAGAAGTGTAAAAGTAAGAACAGATCCAACATTCAGTGACTTCTTGCCTCGCGTCGGAAACGAATAAGAGCATCCAGTAAAAGATGATTTGGTTCAGAACACTTGGTTATCAACCCCAATGGTAATAGTAGTGCATTTAATAAGGAAAATATATATTTTCATCATTCGATTAAAATACAATTTGTGCAAATTACATGGTAGAAATTAAAGAGCTATCTTAGCTAGCAAATTAAAACGAATATATTGATCTACTAAATAAAATGTTGATTGCTAAGTTTTATGGTAAAAA